GTATGGAAATTATCCCATAATTTTTGCTTATTTAAATTGTCACATGAATATTGGAATTGGATCCAAAATTTGTATAATTAACTTTTATAATTTATATAATAAATTTTTATAATTATATAACAATGCAATTAGAATTTAAGACATGAAAGTGAAGACTCAATAATTTATGCATAATAGTATAAATAAATTACACATGATGTAGTAAATAATATATATTAAATAATATTAATTATGTAAGTACGTAAGTTTAATTTAAATATTATTTATTAAGTGAGTACTACGCGTCCATATTAAATACATTTTTTTCCTATGACGGATAATGACGACGTTTAAAGAATATATTTCCGCCACTTTACATACTTCACCAAGGTTTTACACCTAATCGCCGATGCTCTCTGGCGAGATTCAACGCTCCAAAAGCATACGAATCATTTCTCTGACCATTGGCCGCCATCTTCACCTCGCTTCTATCCCTAGAGAAATTTCCATGAAATATTGCGTTCAGTCACGTAACATGAATTGCGACCGTGGAATTTTCGATTCACTTGCCTTATGTTCGCACATTTGCTCCTGAATTTCCACTTACATGCATCCGCTCAATCTGAAAAATTATGATTGAAAAATCTGAAAAAATCAAATATCATTTTGAAGAGAAAGATTTCTTCAAGTACGAAGATACGATATTTAATATATATCTTATGTATGCTGTACACATCGAGCGTATCAAATACATTTTTAAAAGTACTTCATTAAATGGACCCTAGTCTCACACAAACGTAATACATAATTCTATAAGGGAGACATATGGTAGAAATTTTGCAAATTTCCGTTTCTTTCATGCCGTATAAATTCTCGACGTGTTAAAATGCATGCCGCCGTTCGGGCGGAACGACGTCTTTGGAAGAACATCTCGAAGTAATTTTTCTTTCCAACAGCGAGTCCCAACGAAATGGCTCTGGCGAAGCTGGTTGCGGGAAGATCGAGAGTCTCCGATTGTTTTTTTAGAATTTTTTGAATTCACCCGTAGTGGCAGACAAAGAGAGAGAGAGAGAGAGAGAGAGAGAGAGAGAGAGAGAGAGAGAGTCGCCACCGTGCAATTTCGAACGTTACGATGTCCCCCGGGAAGTGAAGCTACAAAGTAATTTTTCCCTCGCTTCTCTCTCTCTCTCTCTCTCTCTCTCTCTCGCTCGCGCGTAGAATATTCCTGGTGAAACTTAAAAGTGCCGCGAAACCCAGTTTGCCTCGCATGACCCCTTTTGAAGCTCGCCTATGTAGTTCAAGCACTTGAATAACGAATGTAACGATGTTCCTCGTTCATAACGTACAGCGTTCTACGACGTTGTGCATAGATACTACTCGTGTAACCTAAACCACGCTTTCAATATCATATCGTACGTTCGCAATTGTTCTGAGAAATTCATGTGCGAACATCAGTGCGCAAAGTTAAAACCTTCTTTACGCCAGGAAGATCATTAGAATTCGGGTTGCAACTTAAATCGACTGCGGCTTTTTTATGGGCAAACGATCGATCGCCAAATTGATGTGTTAATTATGAAACGAGCAATATCGTGGCTCCGAATACGAGCACGGAATATCGAATCGACCACCCAATTTAACCCTTTGCAGTCCCTCATTCGGTGGGTTAGGATCAAATTATCAATTCATACGAAATAGTGGAACAAGAGCCACAAGAATTTTTAAAATAATTTTTATCACCAAAATATTAATCGAGTGGAAATAATTATGATAAATAATAATATTTATTTAATAATTTAATAATTTAATAATATTTAATAATTTACGTAATAATTTATTTTTTAATCAATTCTAATCATAGACAGATGTATCTATGTATTTATCTATCATGATACACGTAAAAATAACAAAAATTGTCAAAATAACAAAATACTATCTTTTTAATAAAATTCAGTGATTTGTACCGTGAAAGCAATAAACAAAATCGACTGACCTAGTAAATAACTCCATAGATTAAATCTTCGAAAATATCGATGCATGCATCCACTGAGCACATTCAATGGCCTCGACTGTACTCTTTTAATATGGTCTTTTATTACAGTTGACATTTTGGATGCAAGCCAATTTAAGATTTTCTCTGCTATTCTTGCCGCCTCTTTTTCCAACCTCCTTCTGTACTTCCGCTTTTATACTCAAGAATATTAACGATTTATAAGCTCTATAAGCTCATATGTAGATCAGAATGTATATATTTTCCAATTTTTTAAAATAAAAATGCATAAGTATTGCTTAAGTACTGCTTAATGCAAAATTTTGATTTCTGATTTTGATGATAGCTATTCAAGTTCCTCTCAAATAACTCTCAATGATAAATATTTCAGTAAACTGTACTGTTTTGCATTTATACATATTATAAATCGTATATTATTATCTCTTCAAATGCCTACCAATATTATTATTTAAAAAATATACACTTCTAGAAAAAAAAATAAAATAATCTGAAGTTTTTTTAAATAATTTCAAAAATCTTTATATTGTTACATTCTAATCTTCTCATTGTCTATACATATACTTTGAAGTATAACATTAATCGAACTCGACGATATAATCTAAAAAATAAAGACTGGATAAAATTATTTATACTAATTATTTATCATAGAAGAAGCCGGATTGAGCACGAGATTATGAAAATTTATTTCAAAAGCGGAAACCAATATCGACTCATAGTTAATGGTGAAAGCTAAGCGTGACGCATGCAACGAATGTAACGTTACTATTCAGTGCAACTGAATAGATTCAGTTCAATATCAATCGTCTATAGAAGCGAACGATCGTATAATCGTCGTTCGAACCAGTAGGTGTAGGGTTTCAACAATATCGTTCACATGGCACTAAATCACTTCCTATTCATTAATCATCAAACGTTACGTCAGTGAATTTATATCTCATTTCGGTACATTTTGCCTGCTCTATTAAATTCATGTAGTGTACGAAAATAAAAATCCTCATTTCAATAATGACATTATATTATTACTTTACATGGACAATCAATTGATATTTAAACGAAATTTTTAAAGTAAAATTGAAATTCTGAAATTGTCTTCCTGTAAAAAAATATTTTAATAACAAATAAAATTTTTTTTAATAAATAAACTATAATTTGCATATAAATTTTGCATATAAATTTTCGATTTATCTAAAAATCAAATTATTTTTCTACAAAAAAAGACAAAAATTTTGTTTCAATTTATTTTATTACAAAAATTCTTGATAATTATCGATTTGGAAAATAATATTGTTTACATAATACGCTTCACTTTGATGAAACTATTCAACTATTCAACTATTTAATAATGTCGTAAAATATTTTTAAAATATGACGTGATAAGCCGCAAATTCCGTAATGATTATTGCCAACTAAAGTTAGCTTCGTGCAAATATTTCTGTAAGACCATCGGAAGTTCAAACAACGCCGAGGCTTTCAGAACCCCCAGCCGGTGCAGAAAGCGACGTGTATGGCCAGCCGAGTATGAACGAACCGCATTCCCGCGGTCAACGAGTAGTACGGGTCGTCGTTTGGTCGGGCAGTGGATATAGTTAAACGACATTGCTCAGCACTCAAGTAATTCTCGTTCTTTTGTACACGACTAGCACCGAGCTGAGCTAATCCCTCTTGTACACGAATCTCTTGGTTCTTGGCAGCAGATATTTTCCGGTACAATTGAACCTTTTATGTACTTTTGATTTGACCTATTCGATCCCGTTGCGTAAAATTCAGAAATATAAAAGTAGTAATGAGCAAAAAAGCTTATAATATGTTTATCTTCCTTAAAAATTGACGAATTCCATTCAGTGATAATTTTATCAAAAATTAATGTTTCATGACAGATTATACATATAAATTCTCAATGTTGCATGATAAATAAATTGTTTCTATAATCAATCATCAGTTGAGAAAGAAAAAACCATCAATCATTTTTCCAAAGAATTTACGTCGAAGGCAAGCGTGTTTTCTCTTTCAACAATCTCGTAAACAGAATAATGCACGGAACAAAGGATATGCTTTATCTACATGACTCTTTCATATAATCATACAATATAGGAAAGTACCACGGTTCGTTCTATACTGGTAAAGATTATTTGCGGCAAAGATTAAACTCCAGCCATCGTATACGATTTTCCTCCATATTCGCAAGTTACCTTGCTGGCAAAGGCGAAGGCCTTAGAAAGTGAGCAACGAGAGCTTTGATACCTTGCTTGAGAAATAATTCACTGTTTCGTTCTCGTAAATTTCAAATCTCGGCGACAGGCAAACATCCACCGGCATCGCTTGGATGAGCAAGGCTTAATAATTTATAATCTCTGTCAAAGCTGCACATCTCTTTCTCGAAAATACCACTCGTTTCTGAGGTCATCGCCCTCAAAGAGTACAAGGTGCGGAAACAATGGGCGAGCTATGTACACTACTATTACTATCTTCTTCTCGTGTTGCTTCCCTTTCGGTCTATCTTCATTACGCGAGGTAATCCCGCGAGAACAATACTCTCGCGTATGCTATACTAAATACATGTATAAAAAAAACTTCTATAGCTTAGTTAATCGTTTTGTGTTATCATTGAAGTTTGTTTTTCCGCTGAACAATTCATTTAACAAATTGCTCCAAAAAAGCCTCTTTGATTCTGATAACAATACGTGACTATATATAGGATTTACACTCGAAAAGCTTATTTTTGCACAATGTCCAAAGTCATATGCTACATAATAGTTTCGAAAATAATAAAAATGCAATATTTATAATATACTTCGTTACAACTAGTTAATAATTTAGTGACTAGTATTATGTCATCATATTTTCTAAGAAGCAATTGCACTTCTGATTAATTGTATTTTAACTAAAGTTTACAATTTATATACATTTTGTCGATAAAAAAACTTATCCATACCTTGCATTTAATCTTTCTACAAATTATTGCCTTTATTTTTTAAATACAATTAGAATATATAAAGAAGATTATCTATTGCAGAGTGGCGGCCAGAGTGGTGTATGGATAGTAAGCGTGATTATACTGTCGATTGGCACCTGGGTGAGCAGAGTCGGGCCACGTCCAGCAGATGGAGAGCTCGCGCTTCTGACATCGCCGCGTGAGCGATTGGAAACCGTTCGACAGGTTCTTTCTGAGGTGCCTTTGATCGACGGCCACAATGACCTACCATGGAACATCCGCAATTTCCTTCACAACCAGTTGGCGGAGTTCGATTTCGACAGGGATCTACGTCAAGTCGCGCCTTGGAGCAAAAGCGCTTGGAGTCAGACCGATCTGGTCAGATTGCGACAAGGCATGGTCGGCGGTCAGGTAATTGCAAAAGGATATCAAAATAAAATAATAAATAATAATTGAATTTAGTCTTGATAATATTCTTCGATAGAAATTTTGGAGTTAATATTTTTTAGACAAAACTTTAATTAGATTATTAATCTTTATTGGTAATTATTTACCCTCCCTCTCCAAAAAAAAATATTCTGCTAATAAACAGGGAATTTCTCTTAGCATTTCCTCTAAATAGAAAATCTTACATGAATCAGGCGTGTGTATTTGTAACACGTATCATCTATAAAAATGAGGACATAGAGCTAGGATCAAAAATAAATTCCTCTATATATTATAAAAATTTCTATTATAATAACTCGAATAATCTTTTAAAATAATCTATAAAAATTTCTATTATAATAACTCGAATAATCTTTTAAAATAAGAGAATATACAAGATATTAGTGGCACGCTTATTTGTTAGAAGTTTGTCATTTACGTACTACGCGTGCATGTCAGCACATGCGAAACATTCTAGCATTAAGAGGATTGCAATCCTAAATCCAGCGCTTTATGGTTATATGAAATTCCTTTACTTTGTAGAGTATCTTCTTGAGGTCATATATAAATGGAAAATCTTCTGATATTAACACAGCAGCACTAAATGGCAGAATATTTTTTTCTGGATGTTATAATCAGAATTGAAATGTATAGTTAAGTGTATTTTTAACTTTACATCCAAGATATTACTCTCTCCTGATATGTCCTAATCTTTCTTGATATTTAACCTGTACAAAAACCAAATTGCATTATTATGTATTGTAATATAATAAGCAATCTAGACTCGGATATTTCGCGGAAATCGTACTAGAGATGACTAGACGAGTTTCAGGTGTCGACGATATTATGAGCATGACGGATTGAATGCATCGATTATCGTCGCATGCAAGCACTCAGGAGCTCGTTAGGTCTGAATGATGCGAGCATTAAGCGCGTATCATGCTTGCGCGCATATACATATATTGTAGAAATGATCTAAAGGAAAATAGATATTGTATATCAAGAATAATGAATAAGATTTATAATAATTTTGTTGAATCTTTTTGCTTGTCATGTCAGTGAAATTTAAAATAAAAACATTATGTTTGTTCTAGCTCAAGAATAATGAGGAAAAAATGTCATTTTAATAAAATGCAATAATTATGCGAGGAATTATATGAATTCGTAAGATAAAATAATGTTTTTAAATGCAAACAACATTGCGAATTCCAACATTCTTTTTTTATAAAGCGAAGAAAAAAATTGCATAACTACAACCGGAAATTACATTCTTTTGCATATTTATGACATTATTGTGTATAGGTATGCAACATATATTGTAAAATATTATATTATTAAAATATAATATTATATTATTATAATATAGAAATATTTTGACACCTTAATTAATCTGTTATTTTTTTCGGTAAATGTAAATTGAAATATATGTTTTAATTAAAAATATATTTCTCCCTAAGAAAATAAAAAGGATATAAAAAGTATGTCATATTTTTCACGCTTTTCTTGAGATTTTTTCGCATTTCTCTTTAAATATACGAGAGAAATATAGTCGTTTTCAACTACCTGCGCAATCTTTTCCGACAATTATATATAATAATTTTTTTTTCTAGTTTTGGGCTGCTTACGTACCGTGTGAATCTCAACATCTTAACGCGGTTCAGCTGACTCTGGAACAGGTAGACCTCATTAAGAGGCTCATAGAAAAATATTCCCAACATTTGCAGTTCGCTGCATCGTCGAGGGGTAAGTGCAGCTAACCGTAATGCGAGACGTAGAATGCTCGAAAATAATATACTGCGATCGACAGAGTGATACAACTGTATTCAACTATATTTCTAACTTCTAGAGATTTTGGAGGCTCACGGGAGGGGCAGAATAGCTTCTCTGATTGGAGTGGAGGGTGGGCATAGTCTAGGAAGTAGTTTAGCCGTTTTAAGAACACTTTATCAGCTGGGTGTACGGTACCTTACACTAACACACACTTGCAACACTCCATGGGCGAAAAGTTCGTCGGTGGAAGACGACGATGAAGATGGTAAATTAGAGCAAGTTTGGAATAAACATCTTCTTCAGAATGAACAGAACTGAAACTTGCGAATTTAATCTCATAAAGATTCATGAATCTACAAGTATAGTTAAAAAATTAAATTGCAATAAAAATTTTAAATAAAATATCTTTGATCAACTTTTTTTCTGAAATTGTAGTCATTTTTTAAAAAAATTATATATAATTATGTATAATATTAA